AAACCTGTTTCACACCATCCCCCCGGTACCGGGCGGATAAACGCGTCATTTGCAGGAAACAACGTCTAAGGAATCTTAATATTGAATAAAACTATGAATGTGTTATATCCATGTAACGGGAAGAAACTCAGCTAACTGATCTTTTTAATTTTTTTTTTCAAAAAAAACCCACAATGCTAGCACTCAGCCTCTGAATTAGCCTCGATCGAAAAAACGGAACCTACAAAGGCACTTAAACTCACTCATAACTCCCTTATTACTTATCCTAGATGCACAGCCAACCACTCGTTTTTGGTGTCCTGGAGACACTGAATCTGTGTAAAAAACCTCAACACTCAGTGATAAACATTCGCAACGCTATAAACGAAAGCGTACATCATCACATGTGGAGCTAAGTAGCTAACAAACGTAAATATGGCTTACCTTGGTCAAAAGTGGTCTTCAATGGCATTAAAACGATAAAAAAACGATGCTGCAGTTAATCCATAGGTTCATCCTATGTGTCTGTGCCTTCTTTGAAATTATTTCTGATAATCCATAAGCAATACAACTGCGTTTTAGTTTCCAAACTCCAGAAGGAGACATTCCTCCACTTTGGTTTCGTTTTCCACACGCGAAGCGCCCACATTTTTTCTTTACAACGTGTGTGTGAGTGGGCTTCCCCCTTCGATTCTATTGGCTCTAACGGTCACAAGGGTATGTCAACCAACCAAATCGACCAAGGGGGGCCAGAGATAGGTCAAATCCACCCAAATGACCCCAAAAGTGGGTTTTTTTGGCTAAATCTCTCTAAAAAGGTCAAATTTCACTTGTTTTGCATCAATCTTGATACAGGGTACTTATTATATGTTGTACTTTGGATTCCTAAAGCTTTTAGTCTACTAACCCATCATCCAAGGGTAGTTTTCACTATCTGTAAAAAATAATTTTTGGACAGACAATATAATTTACAGTTTTTTACTATGTAAAATCTGAATTTTCTTTAAAATAAAAAACATTTATATTGATTCTGACACTTCTACATCCAACTCACAGGTTTATCATTACTTTGAGAACAAAGATTATTAATTTAACCCTTTTAGAAGGGAAGATATGGTCATTTGTTCTGGGAATGTCATTTTCGAGCCTGAGACCTGAAAAACAGGCTCAGAGTGGAACAGGTTAAAGATTTGAAGAACTATAGTGGAATGCTGTTGCACAGCATTCACACTAATAAACCAGTTAACAGAGTAAGGCATAGAAATCAATTACAGTAGTGAAAGTTACATTTTAACAGTGCTGAAACCAAAGTCATGATGACTTGGTAGACAGGAAGACATATAGTGGCATGATAATAGAGGCAAGTTATACCATGGCAACATCTCAAATACACCTGAATATTTCTGTAGAATTATAGAGAAAGGGAAAGAAATGAGAGCTATAAAGAGGGATTCATTTGCTCACCAAAGTGTTGATAGTCCTCTCCTTGAAGTTCATTTTATCCGTGTTTTTTGTAAAGAAACGTGGCACATATGAGGGAGGGGATGGGCAGCCTGCAGACTTCATATCCATTGAACATGGAATTCCTCTCAGCAAGTTTATTGTGGGGAGACCTGCAAGTGATGACTGGTGAGAAACTGTGCGGACATATGAGAGCACAAATAATATAAGGGTTGCAGAACTCACCCAATTTCCGAGCTATAAGAGAGCCTGTGGGCACCATGGGGTCTGTTAGGACGGCATCGAAGTTCTGCAGAGAGACACGGTCCGAAAAATAGACTACAGGGTCAAAAGCAATCTCTAAAACCTTAATAATTGTGTTTATTTAGTGCTTTCTCAGCAGATGATTCGACTTATGATAGTAAAATAACACGTTGCAGGACCCTGAGACAGAAGAAATTAAATGGAATTTGGCCACCTTGAACAGTATATGCACTATTAAACACTCACACACATAATAAAAAATGTCATACTTAAATGTTAAAAGTACATACTTGTTACACTCATGCATGATTTCTACAGAAAATGTCATATTTGTCTAACCCTAAGCCTAACCCTTTTTAAATATTTCCATTTGATGCATTAAACCAGTAGTTCATGAACTTTGTTTGCCTATGACGCCACTAAAAACAGATTCTGGTTGTCAATATTTGTATTTTTTTGTTTTCAACCTCTGTTCTTCCACTCACCTGCTGTGCCAGAAGTGAGATGACACTTGCATTGAACAGTAGGCTCTCTGCTGTGGTGTGGATGAAGCCCGTAATTCTCTTGATTTGCGAAAATCGCGTTGCCACCTTCTCCGTGAAAGACTGTGCTGATTTTTTCATCACGTCTATGTGTGAAGACATGACATAATCAATGTGAGCCCGGTCATAAGGAACAGGATAGGTCAAGGTATCGTAGTGTTTTCCTGGACCCATCCGAATGCTGACCTCTGGTATCACCACGGTGACCCGGTGTCCACGGCGACCCATTTCTTGGGCAATGGCCTTTATACCCACCCAGTGACTCCCATCCATGGGTACCACCAGCAAATTGCCCAAGTAACCGGAAGAAGCATTGTCCCTTGCAGGAATGTTGCTGGTCGCTGCAGCCTCTTCTGTCTTGAGCTTCTCTGGTATGGAGTTTTCTGCCATGGTCTTATCTACAGCACCACTTACTTGCATATCCACGTTTAGAAGCAGGAACAAAAACACTGCAGATTTCCACATTGTTCTCTCTTCTGTGTCTGCAGCTCACTGAATCCAACAAGAAGGAAAAGGTGAGGCAATGTAAGTAAACAATGGACATAAACCCCCCCAACACTTTCTCTATGAATGCTTGTGTAAGCCTTCACCGCCCTCAGGTTCCTTTGACTGGGTTGTTGAAATTCCTCTGTGACTGAGCAGAGTTGTGTGCGTTCAAAGTCCTCCCTTTAACAAGAGAGCCAATTGCAGTCTTCAACTTCTGTCAGTTTGAGGCCATAAAGTTCTAAGAACCTGAAGTTTTGTAACACCTTTTCACAGTTTGTCCCTCCTCTCCAGCTGCATGCCTGAAAATGTCCCACAATAACATAGACCGAACAGACTGATTTGACGGGGACCGGTATGACTTGTTGTACACTGTTTTGTGCTTGTATGGTGAGAGAAGCAGACCCCTAGTGGAGAGTACCAAGGAGTTATTTTACCTGGGTGGCTTTTTTTAGACACCCCCTTGTTGTGATGGGTTTAGCAGGACCTTTATATACAGTTTATGGGTAGGACGGGTTGTTTTGCTGTGATTGGAAAGCTCCATGAGCCCCTGCAACAGTCCTGATTCCCAGCTTGGGCAGCATTAAAATGTGCATACTTTTTTTTTCTTGTCTTACAGTATCTAGTGCAGCTGCCATTACATATGATATGCATATTATCGGGACATACTATCTAGTCAACAAATTGGACCTTGAATTTTTTGTAATATAACCGCTGTACAAAGGATTTGTGGGTCAGAATAGACAAAAAAACATTATTGCGACAAGATGTGAAGGGACATCCTTTTTTGACATTTGACATACGTACTATGTATAGGGACATGCTAAACCTTTTTTGCCATTCAAATTAGTATGGTAATAAGGAGTATTGGAAGGCACAAGGGGACAGTATAAAATAAGTGGTGTACTTAATGTGGCCTCACTTATAGGTTTAAGGACTACGTTTTTAACGAGGCCACAAGTTTGGCATTTTGGCAATCACCAACTTTTTTAACCAGAAGTGACACAAGAGGGTTGAGATAGCTAGGTCACAATCAGTGGTGTAAAGTAACTAAGTACATTTACTCAAGTACTGCTTAAATAGAATTATGAGAGACTTGTAAACATATGTCTATGTTTGTTCTGCCTAAACTATTCTCACTGGGTTATTAAAAATGTTCACAACATCATTTACTTGAGTATTACATTTGTTGGTACTTTGTACTTCTACTCCACTACAATTCAGAGGTAAATAGTGTACTTCTACTCCACAACATTTATTTAATATCTTTGCAGATTTGGATAACAAATGTGAAAAAATGTTTTACCAGCTTTGATAACACTTTAATGCATCAATAATTATAATCAAAACATATCATATATATTATTCTGCATAATGAGTATGTTATTATATTATATTTTGATGCTAATACTTTTGTACTATTACTTGAGTAACATTTTTGAATGCAGGACTTTTACTTGTAACAGAGTATTCCTACACTCTGGTACTTCTACTTTTACTCAAGTACTTCTACCACCTCTGTGAATATATGAGAGTGGTGTAAATCTTCTCATAACACCTTTGTCATTAAAACAATCAAAAAAATCCATGTTATGGTCAGTCACCACGATATGGTTCATTCAGAGGGACATTCAAATAAAAGAAAGATCTAGATTATATTTTACAAAAGTAGCTATAAGGAAAGTTGGAAGTTAAATATTTTTCAACAAGCTGCACAATTGCTGTGTGAGTAATTAACGAGGGAACGACCACAACAACAGGTAGGCTATGTAGTCCTACCACTAATAGTTCAATAACAAGTGCTGTCGTAATTTATATTTCCATAGCGTTTTGTTTTCGGGGTAAAGATAAAGATAAACCATTGACTGATATCACTAAATATGGTCTCTGCTGCACTGCATGCACATATTTGGAGTTATCTCTAAGCTAGCAAACTGAAAACTGCGTGTAATACTCCAGTTCAATACCAGTTATACAGATTCATTTTTATTAATTTTACCTCAGGCTGATAGTATAAACTTTATATTAGAGGCAAAACGTGACTGCGTGCACAAAATGAACGTAGAGGATTCCATGGTTGCCATGGTTTGACGCAGCACTAGCGTCAATATCGGATCAATATTTAAACCATAACAACCTGAAAACTACCTGAAGACGGTCACAAAAAATATTTTCTCCGCTTTCACTCGACGTTTCTTCCAAATTATCGCTTCTACTCAAGTATTTTTACATCCCGACAAGAGTCACAGACCCCTGATAGTTGTTATTACACAGAGAAAACCCACTTTCAGTATGGAAAATGTAAGATTTCATTACGTTCATGTCCCCGTTGTTTCCAATGTGATTTACCGTCGACATTTTCAGAAACCTCATAGTTTACTGATGTTTAACAAATCATTTAGGCTCCTGTCATGATAGGTACCATTACACAAAGTTGATATTACATTAAGATATCGCGGCTATGCCACTGAAACGATTCAATTAATGAATCAATGCAGTACGAAATACCAAAAATACACATTAATTAATCTAAACAAGACGAATATAATAACACATAAATGTTGTATATTTATCTAATACAAATCATTTATATTAACTTTGTAGGCTATATCACCCAGCTTCAAGCTGAAATACATTAATATTGTGACTTTGAATGTAGCTAATTAAAGTAACTCTGAAGTAGCCTACTTTAACGTAGCATTTTTTCCATTAGACGGAAATATCCTTAATATATATAGACACGTCACATATGTGTCACTAAAGCACAATATTAACTGACATGAGGGCCTGAAGGTGGGTCTTGTTTTGTCACCGGTCTTGATGAGGTGTTCAGACTTTGATTATATGTTTCATATTCCTTCATTTATGTTTTTTATCTAACAACCACATCACGTTTTGCCCAGGTAATCTTGCAGCACATAAAACTAGCAATAACACATTTGATTTTCCTATTACGACATGACAAAATATTAGAAAAAGGTAAATCCTGCAGGTACTTGTTAAGCCTCATCCTAACATGAGTGTGTGTTATTGCAGGGTCGAGTGCCCGTCCTCCCGCAGGAGAACCAGACAGGAAGGAGAGTCTCTGCACGCCAGAGGAGGCCTGCAGTCTGCAGACAGTGTCCCTGCTGCAGGGACGACCAGGTGAGACATCTGATCCTCAACTCTGTTCCTTGAAATTGTACACGGTTTAATCTTCAAGAGCTGAAGTATTGTTTCCTTAATTATAAAAGTATTTTGTTAAGTAAGAAGTTTGCTAGAGTCTGACATCCTCTGACCTTCTCCAGGTGCCACATACAAAGCGCCGGCGCCCTGCCCGTTCTGCAGACCTTCCCCAGAAAAGGAAGCAGACCTCCGCGGCTCTTCCTCCTAAACCTGCTGACCTGCCCCCTGTCTCTAATGTGGCCCCCAGCCCCCGGACCTCCACTGCTCCCCTGCACCTCGACAACCCTATCAGGATCCACAACCGCTCAGTCGAGGAGTACCAGCTCATCTACCATGAAGTTGTGGATAACATGCTGAGGTACGTTGTGTCACAAATAAAATGAGTCAGTTCATTTACAGAGTTTCCACTCTCTTAGAAATCTATCTCTCTGTTTTCCTTCATCATAAAGATTTATTTTGTGTTTCTCCTCTCAGGTTCCCGAACGGTCTCCTGCGTCCATATAGTTTGGGTCTGGGTCGTCGTATCAAGCAGAAGCTGTGGGAGCGACTGGACCGTCCGATGTTCACAGAGACAGTGGATGAAGATGGTCTGGTCCATGTGGACGTGTCCTACGGTGCTGGAGTCCAGCCTCCGCTCTTCAACGTGGATGTTTCTGGTGAACCAGAGCCCGAATATCCACCAGCAAAAAGGGCAAAGCACTAAGACACACTCTCATAAGCTGACATGTCTAAATAACACTGTGCTTTAAGTTTAGTTTAGTTTTTTTAAGTTTCATTTTTAGTAGTTTTAAGTATTGAAGTTAAGTTAAGTGTTACGTTTTAAGTATTAAGCATAAGTATTTAGTGTTAAGTTTAAGTTTTTAGTAATAAGAATACGTTTTTAGTAATAAGTACAAGTATTAAGTGTTAGTTTAAGTATTTAGTAGTAAGTATAAGTATTTAGTGTTAAGAGTAAGTGTTTAGTTTAAGTATTTAGTAGTAAGTATAAGTATTTAGTAGTAAGTATAAGTATTTAGTAATAAGAGTTTAGTTTGAGTTAAGTTTACTTTCATTGATCTTAATGTATCTCACCACTGATGAATTGTCTTCCTCTGAATCAGTTCATGCTCCTCTGTTAACAGTCTTCTCAATCCAGCTTCAGCCTCAACAGCAACAGTTATCACCTGCCAGAACACCTGCTCCACCCTCCAGCCTCCACCTGTTACTTCTACCAGACAAAACATCAGCCTTGAGCTGCAGCCTGTGAAATCAAAAACTCCTCTCCACCTTCAGCCACTGTCACTCTGCTGCCTCCATCCTCTACCAGCAGCTTTACCAACAAACTGCTGCCTCACTCTCCACCTGCAGCCTCCGTCAGCAACCTGCAGCTGCCGCCTCCACCTGCAGATTCTGACAGGTCACTGCAACCTCCACCTTCAGCCACCTGAAGACGACCACTCCCCCTGAAGATCCCCAAAGAAAGCTGTGGTCAAACCTCCACCTATAGCCTCTATAAGGAAACCTGCACAGATGCTATCCTACTGCCATTTGGAGACCTGAGTGGAACAGCAAGGACCAGAGAAACACACGCAGATATAGTCTTTCAGTTAATATGCAAAAATATATCTGTGTTATTAAAGCTGCGCTTCTGTGTTTACATTCTGTTCACTTCTTTTTCTTCTCACAGGTGTTTTCATACGTTGTGTAAAAGACTGAGCACACACTCCTCAACATGAACCTGACTGATTGTGATGATGCCTTCATGAAACAGAAAGAGCTCTTCTTCCTCCCACTTGTACGTACAGTATAGCAATATGACATTTTAGGTAATGGATTTTTTAATGCAAGTTTGGTGATGAATGCTATTTTAATGCAGCACCTTTTCTTTGTGTTTTCTCCAGGCCTTGTTGGACTTCCAGATCCAGAGATGCTTCCTCCTCCTCCCCGTCCTGCATGTTCACCCCTCCTGCTCATCACCAGAACAAAAAATGTCCCTCCCCATCTGTGCAACCACCACCAGTTTCTCCACAAGCCGATTCATTGAAGTCCAAAAATTGCATTGACGCTCCATCCGAGACTTCAGTTCCTTACTTTTCCAACAATGCCCCCTGAAAAGACATTTAATGTGCTCTTTTTCTGTGTACTTTAAGCCTCTGCACTGTTTTACAATAAAGGAATTATTGTCCGCAACCATCTGCATGTGCCTTTCACTTTCTATTAAGTCATTATGTCTGCACTTAGAATTGTTAATTAGCCCTAGTAAAGGGTTTTTAGTTTCTTGATTTCTTTTTGGTCATTTGAAACAGCCTGTCACTATCGTTTTCAATCTCTACTAACTTGAATAAAAAAACGTACCATTCGTATGTGTAGATCAGAGCTCTCTCCTGAGAAAGTGTTGTTTAAAAAGTACCATTCACATGTTACTGACTAAATATTTGTAATTCCCTATAACTCCCAAAGTTAGCAAAATAAATGAATTCAACATTTTTTTATATTGTGTATCCATCCAGTGTTTTGGAATAGAAACAAATAATTGTGTTCCTTATGGTGATATTGAAACATCTGATCACCTTTTCTTTGTTTGTATGCTTTATGAGGACTTATGGCCGAATGTACATTACTTGCTTTTCTAAAAGATTCATGGTTTCCCAAACCTGTCTTGAAAGAACATTCTTTTTCACTCATTTTATCCAATCCAAAAAATGACTTTTTAATTAATAGTAGGCCTATTGTTATAATCTGTATTGTATCCACAAGTCTAATACAATGAATCCTACTTGAATGTATTTCTTCATTTTAGCCTTTAAGTTAATGAAGAATAAAAATGCAACAAAATGGTTTAGTAATAAACAAGCATTAAACATCTTCATAAAACATGGTCTTAACAAAAAATGTACACTACGTGGCGCCATTTCTCTCTTTGTCCACACAGCCGTAGAAGAAGAAATCAACCCGCGCTACTCTTCTGCTCACCGCGCGCATCTTCAGACAAACAACCGTCCGAGCTCAACAAAACTCGAGCCCTAGTGGTTACAAGTAAGCGTCTGGCTTCCTTTAGTTGAAGAAGTCATGTTTGATCACGTAGACTTTGAGCGATCTGAGGAGCAGTAAGTTTTAGAGTCATAGTTTCAGTGCTGACGATCCCGGTGCTAATGTTGTTCTGTTGTTGTTTACGGTAGTACACCTGACCTGGACCATGACCCACCAGACTGTTCAGTGTGTGTCAGTTAGGGACTTCATGAGATAAAAACAAGGCTAAAGCGGTATAAGGAACTTTCCAGAACATGTAAAGTGCATGTGACACCCGTGTCACGGTGGGTCCTTATGGGTTAATAATATGGATCATGGACATTTTCGAGTTGTGATCGTAAAGCAAGCTCTTGCTCTTGATGTCCTGTTCAGACCTAGTTTCAGACCACATATTACTACATATAGTTGTATTTAATTAGCTGTTTGTGTGTGTTCTTAGTTGAAATCAACAATGTATGGTGGGGGATAAGCTGTGAAAACAACACCTACTATATGTACAAGAAGGTGGTGTGTTACATAACAAACATGTCAGGATGTTCTCTGATTTAAAAAACAAACCTTTATGCCAATCTTTGATTTTGAATCATATGAAACAGTGACTTGACAATTGAGATCCATCAGATGAAGGATCAAGATCTAATTTCTAACATTGTGCCTTTGTTATTCTTCTACCCAATCGTCATCGTCATTAAATTGTTTTGTTGTCTTTGTAGGCCGGCCTCTGACAGCGAGTATGAGGCAGATGGCGTGGAGTCGTCACTGTCCACAAGAGTAGAATATCATTGGTAGGACCACATGAAAACTTTTTTCTAAAAGCCAACACAGAAGTTGGCATCACACTAGTTTCCTTGTCAAAAAGCCAATAGGGTTTTTTATTGGAGTCATTGAAGCGTTGTCAAAAACACAAATGTATGATACTTGCACATTTTTCTCAGAAAGTTAATCTTCACAAGTCAACACACATTGTATGATTTCTGAAGCTTAAATGGAATCCCAAGAAGTGTAATGCTAAAGTTGGGCTCATGGGCTCTTTATCACAGGTCATTTGAGTATCGTCTGAAGTGGAAAACATCCATGTTGTCCCGACGCTCCTCAAGTCTAGCGAAGGCCTCCAAGAAGATCGCCCAGAGAAGCCCCAGCCCGGATGAAGAAGTTATCCAGCGCAAGCTGAGGGGTAGGACAAAGAGGAATGGGCTGAAGAAAATAGAAACTAGTGACAGCAGAGTCCATGCAGAGGAGTGGAGGGGCCGCGACATCCTTGACGTCATTAACGGCACACTTGAGGCTAAAGGTGTGGGAGAGGAGGATGAAGAGAGGTTTGTAGAGGTGACTGATGAAGGAGTGGATGATTCAGATGCAGACTGTGTCTCTGTAAGCAGCAGCAAAGTGTCTGGTCCTTCCCTCCCCCATAATGCATCTCGAAGGAAACAGCTTCTCTCACAGGGCTTGTGCACAGCCTGTAGGAGCCTCTTCGAGAAGGCAAAGAACTTGGAAAGACCTATGAAAGACAAACTCCTGGACAATGGTGAGTTATTCTTTGTTCAAGCAACAGTGGATACAGTAATGTATGTGTTGGGAAATGTGCACGTGGTACCCTCAAATATTAGTACAACAAATAGGGATGTCCCGATCACCTTTTTTTGCTCCCGATCCGATTCCGATCATTTGATTTTGACAATCTGCCGATACCGATTTTTCCCGATCCGATCTTTATGCAATGCATTAAGAGAAAAAAAAGGAGAAAAGCATTCAAGTTGTCCCTTAAACCCCACGTTCTTCACCACAGATAACGGCTGGTCATCCAACGCGATGAATTCAGCTATCTTGGCTGTTTTTTTTTTGGCCTTTTCACTGTTCTGGGGCAGTTTCTCTTTCCTTTTAAAAGTCTCTGAAAGTGTTGGTTGTTTCAGTGCCGTTACCTGAGTGGCCGCTGTGTACTCGTTGTGTTGTTGTTGTTGTTTGTTTCTCAGGTGGCATATTAGATTGGTCGTGTTGAACGTAGCTCTGTTCTTTCCACCACGCGGAACCTCCGCCTTGCAAACATTGCATCTGCCTTCACTTTCAATTTTATAATACTTCCAAACTCCTGACATTTTCTCTGTCCCGACTCCCGAGTCACCAGCTGAACGTAGCCTCTCGTTAGCTTACTGCTACTATTAGACACTGCGCCCTGCCCACTCTGTTGCCAGATTTGAGAGAAATAAGCAACCAGAGGCCTGTACTACGAAGCCGGATTTTCGCTTAGCCGGCTGACTTCAGGGAAAACTCGGGCTTTCCGGTCCTACGACGCTGGTTCTCTTTTTAGCGGGCTAGATCTCCATGGTAACTTATGCTGAGCGCCTAACCTCCTCGGGAGGAGGTTAGGTTGCAGGCTAAGAGATCAACTCAGTGAAAGCACCGCCTGCTGACCAATCAGAGCTCCGTGTGCGGAGTTTAAAGCGATCAATTCATATTACAGGATAGAGGAAATACAGAAAAACTGCCGTTGCAGGAAAGACGGCCGGCAAAAATCAACTGACTGTGTGAACGTGAAAATTAATAGAATATCCCCTCCCATCTTCAGAGCAATCTGACTATTATAACATTAGCGTTAAGAAAGCTTACTTAAATATCTGCCACGACATAAGTAACCAGATCAGAGTAACATTAAGTACAGTCCGCGGCACTGTGAGTGCAGACGTCGATGTGTCCCATTATCATTCATATCATATCACATCATAATGTATCATATATTTCCTTATCTGAGTCAGCTTCTTGAGCCGTATCTGGCCGTGCAACACTCACAGTGTCACATACTGTATGCAGAAGTATTATTTTAAGCAACACATTAAGTTGACGAAACACTCGAGTCAAATGTAATTAAAGTCAGATCGTGTCTTAGTGATATCATAAACCTGTTAATGTACGCATTCAAACGCTTTTTCTTTTACCAGCTGTATTCACCTTGCAGGTGCAGCTATGTGGCTTTTATCCTGGATAAAGTGTTTAAGTCATGGATGTTTAAAGTTTAACTTCTTCATATTTGACAAATATTAAAGTTCACTTTTCATTCAGGAAGTATGACGCTGCGCTGTCAGTACGCTTGTCCATGTTTGAGATTGGTCGAATGCTCCAAATACCACCCCTTTCATGTGAACGTGCACCTAACTAGATAGGACACGGCTGGCTTGAGCGATCCACTTGATATCCAGCGTCGTAGTACAGTTTAGCGAGAGCGCGTATGTTTTGGATTGGGCCAACCGGCTAACTCAAACATATCCAGGTTAGGAAAATCCGGCTTCGTAGTACAGGGGGGTATACTACGAATCTAGTTCAACATATCCTGGATATGTTTTGAGTTATCCGGTTGACTAAATCCAAAAAAAAAACGCTCTCGCTAAACGATACTACGACGCTGGCTATCAACTCGATCGCTCAAGCCAGCCGTGTCCTATCTAGTTAGGTGAGCGTTCACATAAAAGGGGTGGTATTTGGAGCATTCGACCAATCACAAACATGGAGAAGCCGTGTACTGACAGCGCAGCGCGTCATATATTTCCTGAATGAAAAGTCAACTAATATTAGACAAATATGAAGACGTTAAACTTTAAACATCCATGACTTAAACACTTTATCCAGGATAAAAGCCACATAGCTGCACCTGCAAGGTGAATAGGCTACAGCTGGTAAAAGAAAAAGTGTTTGAATGCGTACATCAACAGGTTTATGATATCACTGCTGCCCCGTCTAAGACACGAGTGGATCTGACTTTAATTACATTTGACTCGAGTGTTTCGTCAACTTAATGTGTTGCTTAAAATAATACTTCTGCATACAGTATGTGACACTGTGAGTGTTGCACGCCAGATACGGCTCAAGAAGCTGACTCAGATAAGGAAATATATGATACATTATGATGTGATATCATGTGATATGAATGATAATGGGACACATCGACGTCTGCACTCACAGTGCCGCGGACTGTAGGCTACGTAATGTTACTTTGATCCGGTTACTTATGTTGTGGCAGATATTTAAGTAAGCTTTCTTAACGCTAATGTTATAATAGTCAGATTGCTCTGAAGATGGGAGGGGATATTCTATTAATTTTCACGCTCACACAGTCGGTGATTTTGGCCGGCCGTCTTTCCTGCAACGGCAGTTTAAACTATATTTCCTTTCTCCTGTCATATGAATTGATCGCTTTAAACTCCGCACAATGAGCTCTGATTGGTCAGCAGGCAGTGCTTTTATCCTGGAACCTATCCTGCTCCGGAGGCTAGCCGTTCAGAATAAGTTATCTAGCCTGCTAAAAAGTGAACCAGCTTCGTAGGACCGGAAACCCCTGAAGTTAGCTTGCTAAACGAAAATCCGGCTTCGTAGTATAGGCCCCAGGCCTCTGGTCTATGAAAACAAGCCCAAAAGAAGCAACACATACATGATGTTGTGTAATTTTAAACCAAAACTAAGGCCTCAGGATGACATTAAGACGTGAACATGGTCATTTTTGTTTTGTAACATTAAATGAAATAATACAAATATTTTATCAAAAAAAAAAAATTCCCGATCTCCGATTTTTTTCTCCCGATTCCGATCTTTTGAAAATCACGTGATTGGCTCCGATCACGTGATCGGATCGGGACATCTCTAACAACAAAGTATCGTCACAGTCAAAAACACAAAGTCCTTCCTGGCATGCTATCAGCCAGCCGTGTATATAGTGAAATGGTGATTTCCAAATATTTGCGACTTCAATAAAAGTTATGATGCAATTGCTGTAAATGAAGGCTCAACGTAAAAAATGTATATAATAATTCTTTGGACATAGTTTTCTATTGAGACCTGCATCTTTTTATTGATTCAACTTATCCAATGAAGTCGATTCTGAACCATGTGCTTGCATTGAATTATGAATAGTATAACGTTCTATATTTCCCTTTTGTGTCAACTACCTCTGTAAGCATTTCTGTTTTTCAAAGCCAGTTTCATTACTAGTTTTGCACTATTGTTTTTAAATATCTTCCACATTTACACATGATACACTCATCTGTCACAAGAGGTGCATCTCTGCAGCGTTTACTCTCAGGGTGCATGATAACATGTTTAACCTCTCCGTTTGTACTTGTACTTAAGATCCCAGTCCCTGAATGTGACGAGTGGTTCCTGATCAAGAGCTGGAGACCGAGGAAGCTGCCTAATGAAAGGAGGTGTGTGTGTGTGTGTGTGTGTGTGTGTGTGTGTGTGTGTGGTGTGTGTGTGTGTGTGTGTGTGTGTGGTGTGTGTGTTGTTTGTGTGGTGTGTGTGTGGTGTGTGTGTGTGTGTGTGTGTGTGTGTGGTGTGTGTGTTGTGTGTTGTTGTGTGTGTGTTGGTGTGTGTGTGGTGTGTGTGTGGTGTTGTGTGTGTGTGTGTTTGTGTGTGTGGTGTGTGTGTGATGTGTGTTTGTGTGTTGTGTGTGTGTGTGGGTGTTGTGTGTGTGTGTGTGTGTGTGTGTGTGTGTGTGTGTGTTGTGGGTCCTTTTTTCACATAAATTTACCACTGATAACATAACATACAAAGTCGTCCAGCCAAAGCTAGCATTTGCTCAGATTGTTTTCTCTTATAACTTTTGATCCAAATGTTTGATGACTCAAATCTTTCAACTTTTAAATATACAGCAATAAAACAACGGGGGATATTTTGCCACTTCATATACCTGTATAATATGGTCCATTACCTTGTTTTAAAATTGCAGATTTCTCTAGGTTTAAAAGTTGTTTGGGATAATATTACAGGTCTTGTTGGTTTCAAAAATGTTAATGCATGAATGTTACATCGTATACCTTTTTACAAAAGGAACACCTGTAGCTATGCAAATACAAATGCTATCAGCTCTTTATAACTGCTGTATTTCAACAGGAAGCTTCTGATCCATGTACAACTGGTTAAGAAAAGACTTAAGGCCACAAATGGTGCAAAGCGGAACTCTCAATGTGGGGGAAAGTTGGAATCTTCAGCCTGCACAAGACCGCACTGCTTCCTCCAGAGGTAACGTCAAACACATCACCTTTAAAGCAGTAAAGCTGCAATGAGCTTGTTAACATGACAAATGACTTCATCATTTGTGTCAGGAACCTTAGACGGTGTCTCAGAATGCCAATGAAACAAATGAAGAAGAACAGGGGGAAGAGGAGAAGAGTTGGTTCACAGGGTCGTCGTGTGGCGAAGCAGCAGCGTCTCCACAGCAACCATCACCTCCAAAACATCAGTGTTAGCAGCACTGATGAGAGCAGCATTCTCAGCGCTGGTTTGGAAGGTCAGATTGATCAAGAAGACAGCGATGAAGATGAATCGAACACAAATCTGACTGTTCAGTTGATCCCCGCCAACGTTTCCCTGGAACCCACCGAGCCCAGAGAGCTCCCATCCAATCAGAAAGCAGTGAAAAAGGCGTGTGAATTCAGAGTCTTGCTTGCCCAGTTGCGCAGCAACAGCAGCATGGTCATTAAAGAAAGTCGTTAGCTAAGTGACTCTGTTTTATTTAATAAAGCTTCAGGAAGGTATTCAAGCCCTGATGTAGCTTTTACTTGTTAAGTTTGTGGTTTAGCCCTCCTATTTTCTCTGTTCTAAACAGCAGACTAAATACTTGTTCTTGATGTTTCTGAGTTTAGTAGACCACTGATACAGTTCCACATACTTGCATGTTATTTATTTATTGTTAGCAAGTAGTTTAATTCAACACACAATGTATGCTGTTTTTACCCAATCCCTAGAATAGACTGACCAGACCAGTAGACATACATGAGTACCTTAGTAGGATGAACTATATAACTAACTCATGATCCATTTTAACAGACTAATCCAATGCTGTTTTGAGTTTGAATGTGTGAAAGTATAACGTGACAAAACAAAGTATTCTAAAGAATAATCTATTTTAGTGTTGTACCACAATGCAGATAGTAAGGATTTTTGATTCTTACATATTTTCTTATAATTGCAAAACTATGTTTACATTTAGTACGCAGTATACATTTGGGACACATTATATCCTTGACCTGTCTGTATATAAAAAAAAAAGCCTGTTTACTAAGTATGTTAAATGCAAGACAGTTCCAAGTGGGGGGTGTGTAAACATAAACTCTTTTCAGGTGTTGGGCAGTGTTGTTAGACGCACTCTGTTAAAGCCCACATGGTGGCGCCACTTAATAAAGGAATCAGCACTGAATACAGTATATCAGCCTTGTGGGATTAAGTGTGTTGACGTTACATTTTTTCCTTTTTCTGAAAAAGATATACCGTATGTTAATACTATACATTACATACCAATAAATATGTTTATATATATGTTTTTTAAATCAGTCGTTTGAATTAATAACAGCAACAAAAACAAAGAATGTTTTATTCTCTACTTTTTGTTTACTGTAATGACACCTCTAATTTAATTATAATTAGGAATTTAAAAGCCACCTTTTGGGGCCCTACTAGCTCATTTAAGATTCCTTATTTGTATTTTCTGCCTCTACTTTGACATGTTTATATGCTTTAATGTTCAAAACGCTCTTTATTTTTCACCTCTTTTCACCCTCTGTCTGAAACCAGAGCCCAGTCTGCTCTGATTGGTTAGCTGGCCGGCTCTGTTGTGATTGGTCAACCGCTTAGAGTTGTCCCAAGCCTATCACCTACAATGTGTTGGAGTGCTAGCCAATAGAAGCGCGAGTGTGACAAAGTGATATCACTATTTTACAGAAGTAAACAAAGGAGTCCAATGGAGGCGTTTCAGGCAGGGGGATTGGGGGGGGGGGGGGGGGGAACAATGAATGAACAATTTGCATGCACAAACGTATATAACACACTTAAGGTAAAGGGAAAAAAAAGATAACAATAGGGCCTCTCTTTTAAAATGTTAGTTATGTTACTTTCCTCGCTTGGCTTTGGTTAACATGCAGCAGCAAGTTGTTCCATAAGGACAACCTGTATGGAATTTATTTCCAATAACACGAGTAACAGTACACATGCTCGCTCTTGTGTTCCATTATGTTTCCAACCATGTCAATTTATAGTTCATACATTCCAAGTCCAAGTTATATCATTATATATAAATGGAAGGAGCATGTCTGATAACATCATTTCAAGTTACTTGCATTTTATTTTTAAGCTTTTGGAAAAGGGGCGCTGGAGCAATGATGCAAGTTAGAGATTATTTACATTAATAAGGAAAAGGTAAAGCCATATAAAAACTTAAGCCATTTCTATATTGAAAATGATGAGATTTAAAACTAGTTTACTATTCAGCAGGCCCTCTGTTACAAGAAATCATGTTTACCAAGTTGTCTAAATCATTTGATGAGGATAAGTTGTTTTTGTACCTCATCAAAGTTGTTTTCCAGAGATCTGTGCTGATACCAGTGAGTGTGGAGGAAGGGTGTGGAAAAGGAGCGAGAGATAAGGGACTGAGAGTTGGGTCGGAGTTTGTTTTGGGACGTGTTGCTGTTTACTCATGGGATTATTGTACTGTTGGAGGATTGGGATTTCAAATCAAAACGGCGAGTGCCAAGACAGGAAATGTGTCTGCTGACCAACACCAAGGATGTAGAATATACAGTTTCATTGTAAACAACTAAAACATTCATTATAATTAAATGCCTTTAATTATTAATTAAATCACTTTATTAAACTTGTTGTCAATAAGAGCAGCAGCTGTTTCTCTGAGCTGCCTATTTACATTTAAAATGTTCTTTAAATCAAAACGATCATGTAATGCTGAAGCAAATTAATTGTGAGGTACAACTTAATTCAATATTTTACTTATTTAAAGACATGAGGTAAAATAGATATTGTCAATTGTAATTCCTTATTTGACTTATGGTTTTAATAATGCATTTAAAATAGTTTATTCGAAACAATTTTTTATTTCATAATCATAGTATGCATGATGCATACTATGCATCATGATGTCACATACAAATACACTATTTGGTATCGACAGAAAAAGGCTTTAAATATCACAGGCCAGTACTTGACATGTTACCTAAGTTAATGTGTTTGTTCTGTTTTGCCCAGTGAACGTGTACATTATGGAAAGCATATGTCTGCATCTGCCAGTGGGCCATCACAGGTAACATAATAACATGTGAATTAAATTACTAGAAAGACTTACTCACATACATATTACATACAATAATATGAAGGTATAACGGTAATAAGCCAAAAAAGATATCAGCGAAAACTTAAATATAGTGAATCCTCTATTTATATTACACACTGTAAAAATCCAGTTTCACTTTTCAGAAGGATGTGCTCCTCTAGCTCACAACTCAGTTATAAACATGTTGTTATTTTGCCCTTAGAAAGTTGACTCACACTCACACACTAATGTGTTACTGATAGTGACAGATCAGAGGAACTCATAAAGTAAACTTGGCTGATAATCATCTCCAATTCACTTCTGGTCTCCCGTGCTGAAAATCCTGCTGCTTGTGCTGAGCTTACAGAGCGTGCAGTTTGGAGGGACACAAACAAACACGGTCTGTTTCTCATCTGCAGTCTTTCCTATTGCCAATAGGTTGTGATCATGACAAACCAGAGGTCTCAGGGCCAAAACAATTCATGCAGTGCACACGCAAACTCAGTATCCTGTGATAGAACCATTATCAGCACCTGACACCTCGAAAACAGGAAAAACGTTTCAGCAGGAACACAGATGTTTTGGAGTGTTTGGGGGAGGAGCATGATCGCAACTATATATCCCCTGCAGACAGAAATCTCAACTTCACTCCGTCTAGAGAGGGACTGCCTCCGTCATGTCTTACTATGAGGTGAGTTTGTGATGTGTGGTCAAACTAAGCTTTTAAGTAGATTCACAAATCTGTGTTTACAATCGATTGTTGCTTTCTCCTTATGCTTCCTGTCTTTAATCATCATTGTCTCCCCAGCATATCGTCTTCGACTACGACCTCAATGACACAGGCTCCGGCTCTGGCTCTGGCGACCTGGCGGCGGATCTGCAGGAGCCCTGTGACGTGGAGCAGGTGATGACTGCTGACCTTCAGCAGGTCTTCTTGCCTGTGGTCTACGCCCTCATCTTCATCCTCGGAATCACAGGAAACGGGCTCGTCGTCATAGTGCTGGGCTGCCAACGCAGGTGAGATGATGTTTATTGTTGGTGATCTGGTGAGTTTCTTTGTGTCATTGACCAATAAGATTAATGGTTTTCCCTCCTGTGTTGGTCTACAGGTCAAAGTGCAGCCTCACAGACCGGTATCGCCTCCATCTCTCAGCAGCTGATCTCCTGTTTGTGCTGGCGCTGCCGTTCTGGGCCGTGGACTCAGCCCTGGCCGACTGGCGCTTCGGTGCGGCCACCTGCATCGGTGTGCACGTTATCTACACGGTTAACCTGTACGGCAGCGTGCTCATCCTGGCATTCATCAGCCTGGACCGCTACCTGGCAGTGGTCCGAGCCACGTACACAAACACGGGGGGGCTGAGGCAGCTGCTGGCACACAGACTGGTGTATGTGGGTGAGTGTTGACAGACATTATTTTCCCCATGCAACTTCTTTGTTCTTCCCCCCACAGTCTCTTATGTTTTGTTTCTTCTTCTTCTTCTACAGGTGCCTGGTTGCCTGCTGGCCTCCTGGCAGTGCCAGACTTGGTGTTTGCGAGGACTCAGGAGGGAGGGGAGGGGGCCACTCTGTGCCAGCGGTTCTACCCAGCAGACAACGCTCCTATCTGGGTTGCAGTCTTCCGTCTCCAGCTGGTCCTGGTGGGTCTGGTGATCCCGGGCCTGGTCCTCCTGGTGTGTTACTGCGTCATCGTCACCCGGCTGACTCGGGGTCCGCTGGGGGGCCAGAGGCAGAAGCGGCGAGCTGTCAGGACCACCATCGCTCTGGTTCTCTGCTTCTTTGTGTGCTGGCTGCCCTACGGAGTGGGCATCTCTGTGGACGCCCTACTGCGCCTGGAGGTCCTGCCCCGCGGCTGCACCCTGGAGGCCGTGCTGGGCGTGTGGCTGGTGGTGGCTGAGCCCATGGCCTTTGCACACTGCTGCCTGAACCCCCTGCTGTACGCCTTCCTGGGGGCCGGGTTCAAGAGCTCAGCCCGCAGAGCCCTCACTCTAAGCCGGGCCTCAAGTTTAAAGATTTTACCAAGAAGACGCCCAGGGGCCTCCACCACCACAGAGTCCGAGTCCTCCAGTTTACATTCCAGCTAGTGTTTGCTTCTGCTGCATGTATATATATACTGTGTATATAAGTGTGTGTTTAAGGACATTTACACAAAAGGTCTGAGAAAGTGAGGAGCAGTCTGCTGGTTTACGACTTGTCTTCTCCCTCCATGTGGGGGTTCTCCTGTAAATACTGTTTTTAGACATGATTTTGGTGCTGCTGTGTGTATTGATGTTTTCTAATAAAATATACAAAATACCCATATGTGTGAAAATGTCTTTTGTTATGAAATAGGTCTCTAGCTTCCTGAGTGAAACTGTAAATTCCTGTCTTGTACTTAAAGCAATGAACCACAACAAACAATCATTCTCATTGGGGGAGATAGATATCATTGATGTAATTACTTTAAAGCCAAAACGACATACTGTAAACACTTCAGAGACTACTAAGCAAGCTAATGAGATGGCCTTTATCATAGAAAACACATTGCAATGGGCCAAGAATGGTGGAATAGTAAAATGGCTGAATCAAATCTATTTAATCTCGCTCGTGGTTTAATTTTAAGCCGACAGCAGTGTCCAAGGTGGCAAATCACGATTGTTTTTTGTTGTACTTCGTGTTTGGGGGCAGAGTGGGTGGTTAACAGATACATAGCATTAGAAAAACAGTGTTGAAATGATTTGGCATTGTGGCATGTATTGTGTTCCTATCTGTATTATCATCAGCCTGTCTTCATTTGTAGTGATTCAGGATCAGTCAGCCGCTACCTGCCATCTGAATCCACTGATCCGGAGCATGGGCACGGTAAAGTTCTTTCGAAAAATGAAACTGTGCTTTTCTCAAATGGGACGTTTGGTAGCCAGGTGTATCTGAGTCACATGTTTTTGTCACTGTCACTGTCATGGTTGTGCAGATCAACAATGATGATATAAACAGTTTGCTTCTTCTACGTGAGAGAGAAGGGAGCATAAAGGGGTCAAGAGGTCCATTTTGTCAGTACTTAAATGCACACGCATGTATACAAAGCACTTCCCACATGCCTACTTCCACTTGGAAGTGTGAGAAACAGAAGCTGGAAGTTTACCGTGTCCTGTTTCCTGGAGCAGAGCTGAGGAGGATGAAGATGAGAGTTGTGAGAGACAAATAGGAAGAATACAGTTAGTAAGCAATAAAACGAAGTCTGGATTGTGGCATCACTGTAACTCTCACAGGCTTTATATATGCAGAAATGTGTGTGTAATCACTTCATTCATAGTCAATATATGGAGGAAAACGTATAGTACCTTTTCATATATTTTGTTCCCTGTCTCTCTCTCTATAGCTGTCATTCACACACATACACACTCACACACAATTCTCTTCTATTCATAGTGTATCCAAAACAGGAAAGACTTCCTGCTGCAGCTCATTTTAGGAAAAACAAGCAGCTAAAACAATCAAACACCAGAGCAGCTCTTCCCTCACCAACACACAGAGCTGTTATAGTATAAATCAGTTTACCAACATGCACGAGAGACACTGAAGGACATCGGGAAACAGCAAGTAATATGGTGATGTGTTAACATATAGATAGTAGATCTGTAAAGTGTTAAAAGTCAGGATGATGGTATCCTTACATGATCATTTCATGAGCCAATTAGAAATGTCGCTTTTGTTGCTCCAAGTTTTAGATTTTGATTTCACGTGCATTAGCAAACCATTCACCCTCAGTCTTGTCCTTTCTATTAGAAGCAGCAAATTGAGGATATTTATTCCAAAAAGAAAGGAAAGACTTGACCAAATACATGATTAACTCACTGAGTATAACCTATAACAATGCATTTAGTCATTCATTTTAAGCCATACTAGTGAAAGAATGGTCCCAAAAATAATATTAAAGGGGCCCTATTCTGCTCATGTTCCTGTACTGTGAAATGCTTACATGTTTTAATGTTCAAAAAGCTCTTTATTTTTCTCATACTGCCTGTGCTGCAGCACCTCTTTTCACCCTCTGTCTGAAACCAGAGCCCAGTCTGCTCTGATTGGTTAGCTGGCTCCGTTGTGATTGGTCAACCGCTAAGAGATATCTGTCTCCTTAGCCTATCACGTACAATGCGTTGGAACGATAGCCATTATAAGTGCAAGTGTGACGTAGTGATGTCACTAAGTAAACGAAGGACTAAGATTTCAGGCAGGAGGGAGTGTGTGGGAGAGAAATACTCCCTCTGGGAATTGTAGCCTTGCATACCATTTACATACTCAAAAACCTGTTTTTTATTTACTTTTACAAAAAACATGTGATTTATCTTTAACTTGGAATTTCACTCAACTGTGCTGAGTGGCATGTATGTGCAATGTAAACATGTGTGGACCTGCCTTGATAGAGAAGAGCTATGTCACATGCCATGTTACTTATTGCTACTTGTTGTCAAATTACGGGAGCTGTGTGTTTCCTTTTTGAATTTTTGAATGTAATCGTTTATTTAGCTGGAACAATGCACAGTAATGAACACTTAAAACATTCAAATGTATCAAGCGTAACAGTGCAAGAGAAGATACCCCTGTGTTAAAGTGCATTTAGTGGTGATTGCATGTCTGTTTGTTTCTCAACAGCCATCAGTCTTCAGTAACTGAATCACACGCTACACTTGACCTACTCACTGTGCCTGTCCGAAAAAAGTCAAATGCTGAAATGCTGCTTAACGCCACTAACACAATGGAAATGTGTCACAATGTGGATACAAATACACCAGGAAACGACTCATTTGAACCATCTTTCTCCTCTCCTCGACATATCCTGCAGCTTTTATAACTGTTTGTTCCCATCTTGTCGTTTTTCACCTGTTTCAACTGAGTTTTTACTACAGACTGTTTAATCCCTACCGTGTTCTGATGTGTGTGTGTCGGTGTGTGTCTGTGATTGTAAAATTGGTAGTAGAACCAATAATGGTAGGCCTATCAGTGATGGAATGTAAATGTACCTAAATAAATACATAACGTACATGTACATGTGTGTGTGTGTGTGTGTGTGTGTGTGTGTGTGTGTGTGTGTGTGTGTGTGTGTGTGTGTGTGTGTGTGTGTGTGTGTGTGTGCTGACGTGTGTGTGTGTGTGTGTGTGTGTGTGTGTGTGTGTGTGTGTGTGTGTGTGTGTGTGTGTGTGTGTGTGTGTGTGTGTGTGTGTGTGTGTGTGTGTGTGTGTGTGTGTGTGTGTGTGCCTACAGATGGTCCGGTCCTCTCATATTCAGACAAGCTGAGCTTCCTGCTGCTGAACAATCGTGGGAAAACCAGAGGTCAAGACAAAAGATGAAATAAAGAGGGAGAGAAAGACTGGGTTGCATCCAAATGGCCAGCAACAACTTCCTGCTTTGTTCCTGGTTGATTCATACAATGTGACAGGTGAAACCAATAGCCCGCCGGGAGCGTTTGTATTGCCCTCAGCAGGTGGACATGTGAGAATAATGTGGGAGCAGAAATAGATATTAATGGAAAAATACACAGATGGTGCCTCGACTTTATCCTGCAGAAGCTGATTGCAGACTTTTTGTAAATGATTGTGAATGATAAACACTCTGTAAAATGTAGCTGCAATCACATTTAATTACATATGATGTTTACATTGTTTTTAAATGGTCAAATCGCAAATCTAATCAAAATAATTTCGTCTTGAATCTTCATTTGTAGTACCAATTTGTAATTGGTATTTCAATCAGGAGTGACTTTGTTTTGATTTAACAATTAGTATTTTTTGCGAAGAATACACAGAAAAACTTTCCCTAACTTCATTTGAAATAAAATAAATTATAAAGACTTTCTCCTTAAATGTAAATAATAAATGGATAAACACAAATCAAATCAAACTTTATTTATAGAGCACTGTTTGTACACAAAAGGTTGCACAAAGTGCTTCACAAACCAAAGAAATACAAGAAAAGTCTATCCCCCCTTCCAAGCTAATTAACAGAGTATCACATAACTTCATGATTAATATAAAAAAACGTAATACCAACATAGGTCAACAAACATAGGATTAGAATACATAAATACAAATATACACAAATAAATCTTTATATACAATATTTCACAGTAAGGTACATTTTGAGAACATTTGTATGTATTCACGATTCAAATGAGCACATAATTGAGTATTGAGTGGGACAAAGAGCACTGATGACAGCAGGGAGTTTGTGTTCCCTGCCATTATAACCTGTTCTGGTGCATAGCTGTTTCTTTGCTGTGGTTAACAAACAGTCTTCTCCAGTGGATCTTGAGTCAAGTTGTGCCAACTTTGTGTTGTGCAGAATACCAAGAAATGTGTTTAGAAAACCATCCGCTCAGTTTATTGCAGCCAGTAAGTAATAAGTGGTTAGAAAGACAAAATAAATGACATTTGGAATTGCAGCTTCTGCAGTGCAGACAGTTTATATTGGGATTGCAATGAAAAAAATACATATTTTAGAGATTATCAGCACCAATGTGTAACCAAATGTTATCTTATTTTTGACTAAGTATGTACATTATAAATTGTATACCATTACATTGGCCTTGCTCTGTAAATTACCTCAACATGTGAAAAGATCAGAGGTGGGAGAAGTACTCAGATACTGTACTTCCCACATCTGGAAAAAATATACATAATGGTCAAGGTAGATATGGTTACATGCTGCTGACATAAACAATGAATATCATTATTGATCATGAGTATTGCTCTCTACAGTCACTGTGAGAAAATAAGTGAATGAAAGTAATATTGCAAGTGCTAGAATGATCATTTAGACTCATGATTCTTCACTGCCCTCCAGTGGTCACAGTGGGGAACGGCAACACTACAGTGGTTTACACATATCCACATGTATTTATCTATACAGTCTTTGATATGAATATATTCACATGTAATAATCTTAGTAATGATTTGTACATGCTGATAGGTATTACCCTTTATAATAATACTGGCTTGTTATCTTCTACACCAGCTATAATGGTAGTCGCACTTATTGTGAGTGTTTAAGGTTAATTTAGCATTCATTTTTGCAACACTTGAAACTATTTTGAAGCTATGATATAATCTGTATTATTTCAAATTAATATAATGCAAAACTGTTCGACAGACACACGAGCACAGACAAAGAGAGAAAAAACGACAACTTTTTTTTCTTCACCTTTTTTTCCCCTGAACTTTATTGGTTTTGTTTTGAAGCAGGAAGCGTGCGGCGGGAAAAAGCAGAAGAAGCCTGCGTCGTTTCACATATTCCCTCCTGATTGGCTAAAACACAGAGAGTATTATCAT